CCCCCAAGTACTGGTCGATCCTTCCACCTGTCTTCTCGCCCTCGATCAATCCTGCCACGCCCCTCTCTTCTGGGCGATCTCCTACCCGGTGATACCCTTCGAGGCGAGCTTACCCTCCCTTTCTTTGGCTCTGACTTAGCCAACTCTTCCAACTTAGCAAACTCGGCCTCCGTTTCCTCCAGATTAATATACTTCTTACACCTTTTTAGCACATCGTCATAGGTACGGGCAGGGGTTTTAGCTAAAGATGTGCGACAAGGCCCTGCTCGCAAACTCCGTATCAACCCTCCAGCTTTCACCTCGTCCGAGGCCGTGGGGATCTCCAAACAAGTTTGATTGTATCGCGCGACATACTTACGCAATGATTCTTTCTCCCCTTGCCTCATAGCCATCAACGTCAAATACGTTTTTTCCTGTGCCACTGCACTCGCATACTGGGTCATCAGCTTTTCTGCGAAATCATCAAAGTCCTTGATCGATCCATGAGGGAGTTGCTGAAACCAGTCGAGCGCGCCTCCCCTCAAGGTCGACAAGAATGCCCTGCAGCTAACCGAGTCAGAATAACCATGCAACACAGCCAAATTTTCAAATGCCCTTACATGCCTCGACGGGTCAGTGGTCCCATCGAACATCAAGCTCATGTCTCTAAAATTCGCAGGTAATGGCGCAACCAATATATCCCTTGAGAACGGAAGTCCTCGAGCACGTCTTTCAGGTCGACCATCTATCTTAGCCTACATCTGCCTCACCTGCTTCGCGAGCCTTTCCACCTCACGATCTCTTAGGGCCCCATCTCCTCCATAGCTCGACACGTCCTCATCCACCATCGTTGTCCCAGCAGCCACTCGCGAAAGGCTTTGAGTGACCTGCTGAACCGCTTGTGCCGCCGCGTTCGCCACCATCTGCTGCATCTCCTGCCTAGTCATCACCACCTGCTGGCCAGGACGTTGTTCCTCCGTCGGCAGCGGCACCGCTCCTTGTACCGCCACTCCTCGCTGCAGCGTCGCGGCCAGATCTGGTTGCGACGGCGTTGGGGCCGCCGCGCCTTGAGCTGTGCGGGTCTCCTGGGCCCGATTTGAGCCCACATCAGCCTCTGGTTGCACCGGCGTGACTTCTACACCTTGGGGAACAGGCATCGGAGTCACCGGTGTACGCGAGGGTCTAGAGAAGCCCGGAGGTGGGCCATCTCCAAACGGCCTCGTCATCGTCCACGCATCATCAAACGATGCCTGTAAATCTCTCCTAGGAATTCCGTCCGCCATAGCTACCAAGCTTCAGAAATCTTAGCACACCACTTTTCGAACGAAAGTCCCACAGACGGCGCCAAATGGTAACGCAAAACACTCCGATCGGCTTGAAATCGGTTTGCTTCCTCCTTCCTTGCCGATAGAACGCCGCGTCCCTGCACAGAACTCTCACACCGGAGGGGTTTTTCGGTGAAGAGCCTCCAATGCTTAAGTCAGTATGTGTTTGTTCAATTTTCCAAAGTAAAGAATGGATAAATCGTAAACCCTAAGAAAAGACCCACTCCTATATATATAGGAGTGGGATACCTGCCCCAAGAGCTGCCCGGATATTTGGTGAGTTGTCCTGCCCGCGCTGCCCGTCCGTACACACACTGTGCGTGTATTGTCAGAAATGTCAGGGGTGTCAGAGGTGGTTATTGCCACTATTACTCTGCACCAATATATTCTCGCCACGTGTCCCCTCTGAGCTGGGGGGAATTATTCCTTTGCGCAGGCCGTTGGGATCTCCTGCCATCACCCACGCGCCTACTCGCGTTCAGGTCACGCTCTCGACTACCTCCTACCTGTTGTATGCCCGATATGATCGAGCTCCCCCTCGCTAGGTCGATCCTCGACCAACTCTGCTGTTCTGCTCGACATCTTCCGTTTTGGTCGATCATCCTTCAACCAACGTAGTTTTCTCTTCTATGCCTGCCTGGCCGACATGACGAATCGGTCTGCTCCTTAGTCGTATAATATCCCACATCAACGTGTCTCCTAATAAATGTATATATTTTCCCTTATCACTTGCCCCGCATTTTATGTACGCGGTAATTTTTATGCGTACAAAAAATAATCGATGAGACATTTACAGATGAATATCTGCGTCTGGCGACTTTCCATTACAGTTGCACAGACAGACAGCCTAGGTGCTTGCTATAAAATGTCTCACTCTCATTCTCTTCTCACTTTCAACATTGTTATTTTCTAGAGAGAGAGAAAGAGAGAGAGAGAGAGAGAGAGAGAGAGAGAGAGAGAGAGAGAGAGAGAATCAAGCTCTTGGGATTGCATCGCTTTTTCACGCTCGACGTCAGCCTTCGAAAGTCCTCAGACCGTGGTAATTTTTTCCTTACCATGACATTATTTCTTCATGTCTTCGGTAGCTAGTTATTATTCACCGACGTCAAAAGCATTGGTATTTACCTTAAAGAAGATCGATATCAATAATCTGGACGTATATTAGACACCTTGATAGGCCGAGGAGCTTCTTTGTAGATCTCGGTAGCCTGAGGACTAATTTTTAAAACACCTCAGTAGGTCAAGGAGCTTCTTTGTAGACCCCGGTAGTCCGAGAACTAATTTTTTGAACACCTCTGTAGGCCGAGGAGCTTCTTCGTAGACCCCCGGTAGTTCGAGGACTAATTTTTTGAACACATCGTGTGACGCCCCGTTGATTTTTAAAGAAAATTTTGGACTTTTCCAAAAATCACAATTAAATTTTCGAAATTCATTTTCCGATTTCCAAACATTTTCGGCATTACTCATTCATTTCATAACATAGTTCAAGTCGTGTCTAAACTCACGGATATTCTATCCAATTTTCACAAGGATTTCATTATCCAATCAAACATGATCATCACGACGTAGGCATGTCAACATAAAACCAATTCATCAGGTTTCATAACATAGAAAATTAAACTAGCTCCTTAGAATCAAAATCCAAATCATCATGCCAAATCCAAAATTTATAATTTACAAAACCTCATTGTTTGAAAATAAATAACAAGTTCAACACGGTAGTGCGCCATGCCGCCACCGGCTCAACCTGGGAAAAAAATCATGGGAATGAGCACAATCCACTTGCTCACTACTATGCACATAAATCAAGTATAAATGACAGATAGGTATGGTCGCAGCATGAACATGAATCAATCAACATATCACATCCCCTAATCATATAATACTCATGTGCACACCTATCATTAGCCACTGAAGGACATACAACTCACATCAATGGGAGTACATACCGAAGGACATACAACTCACATCGGCAAGGCCTATCATTAAGCTAAGGGAGACTCCCTATCATTAGGCTCCGTCGAAGGACATACAACTCACATCGACGGGGATAACCGTTCGAAGGACATACAGCTCACATCGAATGTTACATGGTTCACACGCATAGATTGATCATACTGTTCAGCAGACATAAATAATTTATGGCATAGAAATTTTAATAAACCCACCTGGTTTCGGAGAATCAAAAAATCAATAGAGTCTCGATAGGTTTGAGGGCTCGACTCCTCGGAAACCTAAATTAAGCAAAATAATTTATATAAATAATATTATCTCATTTACTCAAAAAATTAACGAAGTTCTCACTAAAGGATCCAAACGTTCGATTTAAAATAGGGTTTCGATATTTACCGCACTTCTCAAAGAGGTACGATTCGAATAAACGTTCAATAGTCGGGTTGAAGCTCCTTCCGGTACCCCACTTATTTAGTCTACAATTATTTTCCCTGGGCTCATTCACACAAAAGGCCGTGGCTCTTGCAACCCAAATTATCCTTTTTAATGTGAGCCCAATCACATTCATGGCCCAAAATCCTTTTTTTTTTTTTGAGGAATATGTACCCCTTACTTTAGCACATTAACTATATTACATTAATACACCTAGTATATTATTATTTATAATAATACCAAATCAGCCAAAAGAATTTGCAATTATACCTAAGAGGTAATAACAACTGTTACATGGCAAATTCTGAGCAAATTTAATTTGATATAATTAACTCACAGTTAAGGATTTTTATCCCAAATTAAATGCTACTACAACTCCAGAAAAAAGATACTCTTATGATCTTATCACTCAGCAAAGAAAAAAAACCCACGGCCCCCACGTTTACCATCTTCATCAGAAAAAACCTTTATTTGATTCCCCCAACCTAGTTCAATGGCCAAGACAAAAGTGCCAATTTCTACTCGGAAAATCAAGACAAACCGCTAATCCGATGCGNGTTCCTTGTCATTAAAAAAAAAAAAAGAAAAACGAGAAGATGTGCAGGTGGGACTTGGGAGAGATGGTGTAACTTTTGATTCAGAGATGGCGAGTATATTTCTCCCAGGCTCCCTCTGAAGCCTATCCCACCGGAATTCTCGAAAATCGTGGCAAGTGCGATTTAGGACAACGACAATTTATGCGGGTCGCTACCGATTCAGTGCAAAAAATCAAGAGGACATCTACACTGAGTCCCCTTCAACGCCGTCCTCCACCGAGTCCTACTCCCTCGACTAGATCGTCTATCGAGCCATCCCCGCGGTCGTCATCTACATGTAGGCGGTGCGAGAATCTTTTTCTATGGAGTCGACGAGAGAGAAGATGAATATATTTCGGAGCATGATTTCCTCAATTACCACCGGCGACGGCGTCCTCTAAAGAGGGTTTCGGCGTCTCCACAATCGGGGGAGATGAATGGTTGGTTGCAGAAAATTTGAATTTTGCTTCGATTTTTTAGGGTTTTGGGCTGTGTGTAGATTAGTCATTACGTTGAAATTTGTAGACATTGGATTGGAGTATATGTACAGTATATGTAAGTGTATGTACAGTATATATGACTTTGCTTCCTCCCGACGAGTGCAGTATATGTATAGTAGATATGAAAACATGATTTCCCACTCCAAACATATTACATGAAAACATGATTCCGATCAAGAAATATACCTCTCTATCTATTATATTTTTTCTTTTTTGTTCTTCTATTACATGAAAACATGATTGCCCACTCCAAACACAATTATGGGATGCACCTGTCGATCAAAGTTGTTCATATTATTTTGGAGATATAATCATTCCATATATGAACCAGACTTTTTCTGTATTGTGGTATATGAACAGTATATGTTAGGATGTAAAGTATATGTACAGATATAATCATTCCATACACCTGTCGATTAAAAATTTTCGATATATTATCAATATATTTTTTCATGACATTAACAGGAAGACGTTCGACAGTATATTATCAGTATATTTTCGGTATATTCTGCCGTTAAAGATTTAAAGTCAGGATGCAATCTCACATCCTGGGGACCCTGCTCGTCGGGGTCGTGCTGATGCATGTCCAGTATATTTTCGGCGTGCTTCCTTTTTCTTTTCCGTCTGTTTCAACGATGATTATGAATTTAAATTCAAATATAATATCTATCCATCTTGAATCCTTAAATTGTGCGCTACAAATATGGAATGGTTGTTCACTTTACTTGTAACTGTTTTAGGCATGAACATAATTACTTTTTATCTCTTAGGTATATATACAATTTTATTGGTTTGGATGGTAATGTTGCAATTACTTAAAAAACGGTAAGTATACATAAAAATTTCCCTTTTATTCCATTAATTTTTCTTTCCTTTTTCTCTCACCATTTTCTTTTCTTTTCTTCCTCTGCCCAATTTTCTTCTTCCCTTTCTGCAGACAACAAAAATCCCCAAATCAAACATTTCACTTCATCTTCAAAATCACTCCCCGTTTCCCTTCTTCGCTGCTTTTAAATAGTCCAAACCTAACCATGTTCTTAGATCTGTGGAATCCGACTGACAGCGCGAATTGACGGGGTTGGCGGACGGCCGAGAGGCCCACGTCTGGACAGGTCTGAAATCGACGGTGGTTCCGTCAGCCATGGCGGCGAACGGTCGAGGTGCTACTCTCGAAGCCGAAGGGTGCTGCTGCCGATGTTCGGTTGCTCGCGGATTGGCAGGTCTATTGGAGATGCTCGAATTTCGAAATCTGATGGTGGCTCGACGATAAAGGAGGGTGGAGCGGATGAACGAGCGGGAGGCGCGCGACTGAAGAGGGCTTGCGTGAGTTTGCTGGCGTCGCCGTTGAGGGGGAGAGGCTGCTGCAGGGATGATGGAGTGGCCTAGGGAGGCGGTTCGCTGTTGCGAGTGGTCGGTGATTAAATCGAGTGGATGTTCGATTCGATGGCTCTGAATTTTAGCCGAACGTGTTCCGTACGGTGAGCGCCGGTTCGAATGGGCTATTCGCAGAGGATGCGGTTCGCTACTCGTAGGTTGGTTGTTGACGGGGTTGTTTTCTGCTCGCGAGATGTGTTTGAAGGCTGGTTCATCGGTCGCATGTCTTCTCGATCTGAATAATCGAGGATTGCTGTTGTTACACGATCGTTTACAGTGTACGGGGTCGGCCTCGCTGCTGCTGGTAGTCACCAGAATAAAGTGCTTGATGGCCGAGAGAAATAGATAGAACTTGGGATATTTGCTTGATGCTTGGGAAAGAAGATTTGGCTAAATTCTGTGTTTGAAATGTGGTGAATGCCATCACAATTCTTCCATGCCATCACAATACAGAGGAGGAAGAAGAATGCCATTTCTAGAGTGGTGGATAATACAAACAGAACTGCAGTTAGCCAGGAGCAGAATGAGACTTGCTTTTTCTATCAATCCCTCTTTACATATGAGGGATCTAGAGGTGAAGAAGAAATCTTGCATTTAATATCGCCTGTTATTTCTGAGGAGGTGAATTCCAGACTGATAGCAACTGTTGATGAGGCTGAGATCAAGGCTACTCTATTTTCTATGAATCCAAACAAGGCGCCAGGAGAAGATGGCATGACTCTATTATTTTTCCAGCACTTGGCCCCTTATTAAAGGTGATCTCTGTGCAGCTATTTTAAATTTCTTTGATACTGGTAGAATGCTGAGAAGTTGGAATCATACTGTTATAACCTTAATTCCAAAATGTGATAACCCAGAATCTGTCAATCAATATAGACCTATCAGTCTGTGCTTAGTCTCTTACAAAATTATTGCAAAGATCATTGTTGCTCGAATGAAAGAGTGCTTAAATTTCTATATCAGTGAAACTCAATCAGCCTTTATACCTGATAGACAACTCTTGGACAATGTGGTAGTTGCTCATGAAGTTATTCATTATCTGAATAGACATAAGGTGGGGAGTAAGAGTTTCATGGTTGTTAAGCTAGATATGATGAAGGCTTATGACTGTGTAGAGTGGAACTGTTTTATTAAGTTGATGAGGAAGATTGGTTTTAGCCCTATGTTTGTGAGGTGGGTCTTTGCTTGCATTTCATCTTCTGTTTTCTCCTTTAATATCAATGGCAAGGTGACTGGGTTTGTTGTTCCTTCTAGAGGTCTCAGATAAGAAGACCCTTTGTCTCCCTATCTATTTTTGCTGGTATCTGAGATTTTTGCCAAAATGATTGGGAATGCTATCAGGATTGGTGATCTGCAGGGCTTGAAGCTTACAAGGGGTGGGGCTGTTCTGTCTCATCTCATGTTTGCAGATGATACTCTTCTGTTTTGTGCAGCTGACTCCCATAATGCTAGGAATCTGCTCAGGATCTTAGCCTCTTACCAGAGATTTACGGGGCAGAAAGTCAACTTATCCAAATCTTTTGTATTCTTTAGTAAAAATGCTTCTGTGGGGCTCAAGGAGGAAATTTGTCAATGCTTACAGGGGATTGAGGTATGTCACTCCTCTAGATACCTTGGTCTTCCTTTAGGCATTGGTAAGAGTAAGAGAGAAGTGTTTGAATATGTCACTACTGTGGTGAAGAAAAAGATTATAAGCTGGAAAAATAGGTTTTTATCATTTGCTGGTAAGGAGGTTTTATTGAAGGCTGTGATCACTGCTTTGCCTATTTTTGTGATGTCATGTTTTTGTTTGCCTGCTGGTGCGTGCAAAGAAATTGCACAATTATGTGCTAACTTTTGGTGGTCATCTGGCAAGGAGCAACAACAAGGAGTGCATTGGCTTGCTTGGCAAAAGGCTACTACTCCTAAATATGCAGGGGGACTTGGTTTCAAAGACTTCAGGGTTGTCAATGACTCTCTTATTCTGAAACAGATCTGGAGATTGCTAACCAAGCCTAACTCTCTTGTGACTAGAATCCTGAAAGAGAAATATTTTCCAAATGAATGTGTGTTGAATGTTAAAGGGAAAGCTTCTGCATCCTGGTTATGGAACTCTTGGGTTAAAGTTATGAACCATCATAAAGACAATTTCAGAAAGCAGGTGAAAGATGGGGTTAACACTAAAATCTTATCTGAACCTTGGGTGTTGGGGAGCAAGACAGGAGTTCCTTGTCTTAATCAGAATATTGAGCAGCTGCAGGTGACTTGGGTGAGGAAGCTTATATCTGATTATGGGAGATCTTGGAATACTGCTTTGCTGCATCAATTGTTTACCCCTGCCTCATGTATAACCATTTTGAATATGAAGTGTTTGAATCCTGATGAAAGAGACAGGTGGATATGGTATCCTGATGCTAAGGGGCAATTTTCTATGGCTTCTACATATGTGAATGCTATTGATCTTTGAAATTAGATTCTCCTTGTTGTAGTTATAATCTGAATTTGGATAAGAAAGCAAGAATGAGGTGTTGGTCTTTGAAAGTAAAACCTAAGCTGAGACACTTTCTATGGAAATGCTTCACAAACAACTTACCAGTTGCTCAGAATCTGCTGCACAGGAGGATTGATGTGGATCCTGTGTGTAGATGCTGCGGGGAGGCTAGGGAATCTGTTGCACATATATTTTTGATTGCAGGAGAGCACAACAATGTGGAAGGCATCTACTTTGTCTTGGGCCTTCACTGAAGCTGCATACACAGGCTTTAAAGGTTGGTGGTGGCAAATTGCAGAAATGAAGCTAACACCAATTTCTAAAGCTCGCATTCAACTGTCAACTTACATCTTGCGGTGGCTGTGGAAGTCCCGGAATTTATGGGTCTTCCAAAATACATGGATGCCTGAGGAGACTGTAATCAAGCTAGCTCACAGAGAGTGGTCTAAGGCTGTTTGTTGTTCTTGAGGCTATCTTATGTATGAGTTTTGTCTTGTACAGGTTGTGTTATCCATAGCTAGGTCCTTTCAGGTTCAGTGGCTTGGATTTATGTGTTGTTAGTTTTTTGGTTTGCTGTTTGTGTGTTAGGGTGTACTGAGGCCACAGGTCTCCATAATTTCTGTTATGCCTGTTGTTCTTGTTTGTGTGTTGTTCTAGGCCACCAAGTTGGAGTGGTTCTCTGGGTTGTATTATGGCTAGTATGCCATGCGGTTGTAAACTCCTTTTTTAGTTTGAGTAATATTATCGTTTGAAAAAAAAAATGTGGTGAATGAATAGATTACCTCTCGGCAGAGATAGCGAGCAATGTGTGGTACTAGAGAGATATTTTGGGAATGACGGTGAAGAACAGTTGTTACAGTTCAACGCATTTGCACGTGTAGAATACTAATTATGGGTTAAGATTTACACAATGCATCGGGCCATGGGCATTTTTAACTCAGTTGGGCTAACATAATGATGACACAATTTGGCTGGAAAAATACTATCAAAAGGACTGAAAGATTTTGAGAAATTTATTCCCTTTACAAATTCTTGTGGAAATAATATCACATTTACGAGCAGCAAATTCTATAATAATAATTTAAAGGGGTCAGGTGGTCAATTGGGACCTGATTAATCGAGTTTAATTATATTTAATTAAGGTAGATATTAAGTCAGTTTTAAAAACAACTAACCACACTAAATTAGACCATTGCATGATTTTCGGAAAACGTGCATATCCACCATTTCTATACTCAACCGTAGGACAAAGAAAAAAAATCAAGATTTTCTCTCTCCATATCTCGTTTATTGTGCACATAACATCTCACAAAAGAAAACCTTCATCAGTCTCTCACAAAAAAAAAAAGAAATTTTCATCTCTCATCTCTCACTCAAAAAAAAAACTGAAATCCTCTCTGTGAAAATTGGAAGAATGGCAAAGCCTAAAATAATTGAGGCAAAAAATTGCAACAGCGAAGAAGAAGCAAGGATAACTCAATCCTGATCTCATCAAATCTCGACTTTTGTGTTCCTTCACCTCATACAAGACAGGAGACGAAGAAAAAAAAATTTCCATAGAACATTCATCTTCCATAGATTCATCAATTGCCAAGCGAAGAAAACAAGATGTCAATCATCACAGTGAAGATGAAGTTTGATAACTCACTCACTATCTCGTCTAACAATTTAAAATTAAGCATTCGAGAATAAAGTCGTCCAAAATAAGCCGGTCGCCGCCGCCATAGGTTGAGCCATGAATCTAAGATGTCGCTCAAAAAATTTAATTCTTAACCGAGAGCCCAGCGGGACCACGTAACCTTCCGCCGCCGCTGGCCGTCGCATCGTCTGTCGTCACTCATAGGGAAGATTCTCAACCGAGAGCCAAGCGGTACACCACGACACACCTCCCATCGTTAGCTGTCGCATCGTCTGTCAAACCCCAACCCCTTGATTCTTCTTATTTTCAACAAGAATACGGTTCGAGATTTGGTTTAGATTACATATGTTTAATTGTACATGTGCCTTAGTTGTACGAGGTTTTGTGTTTATATATTGTTTGTTTATCTTAAGTTTAATCATATTGCAGTCAATCAGAATTGCGTGTTATGTTTTATCTCGTTTGTATTGTTTATATGTTGTTTATCTTATGTATAACTATACGGTTAATTTACATGCATTTTTTACATGTTGTTTATCTTATGTATATATACAGTATATCTAAACATATTTTCACGATCAACTTCACTAACTCAATTTTCTTAAGTTACACGGACGATGCTGACCTGGACCATGTACATTAGCTCCTGGTTGTCGAGTATTGGGCGAATCAAGGTCGAGATTTTGTTTTGTGATATATTATGGTTTAAGAAAATCTTGGTTCTGATGTTTTATGATGATGATTTATGATTGAATGGAGTCTCTGTGGAGGAGTTTGATGCACAAGCCAGTTGCAATGGGAGTCTCAAGAGTGAGGATTATGAGCAGAAAGTAAATGAGTTTGAAAGATCTGCTTACCAATGCCATTTTTTTTTTCATTTCTATTTCTTTTGCAGTATTGAAGGTTGAGATATTAAATGTAATGTTGAAAATTAGTGTAAAAATTATGCTTACTATTTGAGAGAGTATATTTTAATGTTTACCAACTGTATATTCTAAAACTTGTATGAGTATGCACATGTTTACCTAATGTTTATTTTTAGTATACATTGCTGTTGTATGAAGAACCGCATGTTTATCTCATGTTTATTTTTAGTATACATGTCTATCGTTTTATAGCAATATTTTCAAGATATCTACTAAACTTTGCCTTTTCATGCCTCTTCAGCATATGGATTTTTTATTCTATTATCTCAGAAAACTCGGACCATATGGTTCTTTTGAGGTCGTACAGTACACCACCGCCGACGTGCTATTTGATCAGAAGATCAAGTTTCTGTATGACTTATACCTTTCAAAAGATTCTGATACTAGTGTGTGTTCTTTCCCATTCATGTTGAATTAAATGGTGTTGGACATTGGGTACTGGGACGATTGTCGCTTGGTGTGAGGAGGCTAGTTGTATATAATTCTTGTCGATCGGAAGAGCTTGACAATATTGTCTTTAATGGTGTTAGATGCTATTCTACTCTCATCCCTATATTCCTCGTATGGTCCAGTTTTACTCTAAAGACATGAAGCAGGTCATCCACACTCATAGGTGGATATCCATCCTTCACTTGATACTTCATATCAAGATCATTTGAATACTGCGTTTATTTTCAGTTTATGAAACACAATATCTGGGAGCTGATTGTAGTCACACAATTTACTAATCAAGATACCTCCGACTAGATAGTACACGTATTCATTGTTGATCCACACTCCGTTGTGATGCATAAACGCTTTCACATCAGTCATATTCCTGTAAAGTAAACAGATCTACTAAATAAATATTCAAGATTACAAGAATAAAATTGTGTTTACTTACTGTATATATTACGTTTAGATATACAAAAATATGAGATTTGTAAAACTAATCAATACGCACGAAATCAATGTGGATTCTGGTTCTGCGTCTCTAGAGTTTTGACAGGTGAAGCCGAAAAAAAAAAATAAAAAACAGATATTTGTGTTCATAAACACAATGAATATACCTTCAAGTTATAAACAGATTATAATAAAAAAATATTTAGTTTTTCATCAATGGCGAACGAAATGCTAATGTTTTATTTTATTTTCTTTAATTTCAGGCCAACACCATCACTGAGATTTAAAAACACAAATTATAAAGTACCAAAAATGTATTATAATCAACGAATAACATCTAATGAAAGGTCATTCCACCTTTTTATATTTTTAAATAATTTTGCTCTAGAAATTGATTTTCTAGATCCAATTTAGGAGAAATGGATGGTCAAACTCCTGATTGGAAGCATTATTTGCTCCATAATCAATATATGGAGAGAGAGAGAGAGAGTAACGGATCTCCTGATTTGAAGCATTATCTCGTACAAATGAAAAAAAAACATTACTCAATCCTCTTTTGATTAAATTTTCCACCAATAGTATATATGTAAATATATCTATATAGAGATATATGTATGTAATTTTCCTAAATATTTTCAACTAAATCAGGCCGAAAGAATTTAAATTTAGCAAAAGAGCCGGGATCAATTTAATCGGGCCGAAATATTGCCCAATTAATTTGGAACGAAAAAGATACAACGCGATAACAAAAATTTCCGATCGATTCGATTGACAACGAATAATAAATAGAATTATATGACTTATTATATTATTAGACAACATTTAATTAAATAATAATAAGTCTAAACGGAAAATCTCGAGCTATTATCGAAATCGAATAAAATGCAATTAACTAAATAATCCAGAAATTCCATAATTCAAACGGCGACGAGCGAATGATAGATGACTGACGAGAAATAAAATTATTCAAACGGCGTGCACGAATGGTCTATCTCGATAGCCGACGAACGATCTAAAATCGGCAACAATGGGTGTACAATTTATCAGCGGCGAAGAAAATATTTAAATCCACAAATTGGATTAGTTACGCTGAGCCATATCAATCAATCGACACATCCTACGTATCGGCTCGAAGTTTGAAAATAATACAGGTAGACGATAATGCCTACAAAAATGATCGACACGAAGGATCATTAAGATGAGCATTTCTAAAGAAATAATTTGCATGAGGTAGAACAAGGATTTTAGCCAAACGAAATACTCAAACATAAACGAGGCGACAATCTTAAAATACACTAACGCATCTAAAATGAATGGGGCACTACACTCGGTAGACTGATGAGCTTCTTCGTAGACCTGCGGTAGTCTGATGACTAATTTTTTGAACACCCCGGTAAGTCGAGGAGCTTTTTTGTAGACCTCGGTAGTCCGAGGATTAATTTTTTGAAACACCTCGGTGGCCGAGGAGCTTTTTTGTAGACCTCGGTAGTCTGAGGACTAATTTTTTGAACACCTTGGTAGGTCGAGGAGCTTCCTTGTAGACCTCAGTAGTCCGAGAACTAATTCGTTTAACACCTCAGTAGGCCGAGGAGCTTCTTTGTAGACCTCGGTAGTCCGAGAAGCTTCTTTGTAGACCGTGATAGTCTGAGGACTAATTTGTTTAACACATCGGTAGGCCGGAGCTTCTTTGTAGACCTTGAGGACTAATTTGTTTAACACCTCGGTAGGCCAAGGAGCGTCTTTGTAGACCCCAGTAGTTCGAGAACTAATTTTCTGAACACCTCGATAGACCGATGAGCTTCTTTGTAAACCCCAGTAGTCTGAGGACTAATTTTTTGAACACCATGGTAGGCCAGGAGCTTCTTCGTAGACCCCCGGTAGTCCGAGGATTAATTTTTTGAACACCCTGGTAGGCCGAGAAACATTTTCGTAGACCTTGGTAGTCTAAGGACTAATTTTTTGAACATCTCAGTTGGCTAATGAGCTTCTTTGTAGACCTCGATAGTCCGAGAACTAACTTGTTTAACACCTCAATAGGCCGAGGAGCTTCTTTGTAGGTCTCAGCAGTCCGAAGACTAATTTTCTTTTAACACCTTAGACCTTGGGACCTTAAGATTGTCCCACTGTTGCATTCTCTTCCAAGAGAGCATACTACGTCCATTTTTTTTTCTTTTTTCTTTTTTTTTTCTTTTTTTAATTTCGCCCATCACGTGGGCTTTGGCAGAGGCACATACCTCCAATCCCCAACTTTTTCCAAACTTCTTATTTTATTTTATTTTATTTTTTTTGACGTGGGCCTGCCAATACTTTTCTGCCAACTTTTCAAATTTTCCTCACCTGCCAATGTCAAATAGTTCGCAGAGTTTAATATGCGGTGTTGCTAAATACTGCACCCGCAAAAGACAATTTTGCCCTTTTTA